GGGGGGGGGGGGGGGGGGGGGGGGGGGGGGGGGGGGGGGGGGGGGCCAGCGACGCCATGAGAATAACGAATACTTAAAGGAGTACGGTCTCTGAGCCTCGCCCCCTCTCCGTTCCCCTCATGCGGGTCAAGTAGCTTGAGAAGACGGTACGTGCTGTTTTAGGCTTAGTAGATTTTCTCCCTCATGCACTTCCTACCAATAAAGTCTGAATCCTAGACAAAAGCTTAGCAGTTCCTGTCGATTAAGCAATACAGACCTTGCGTGGCGCAGACGACGTACTGGTGCCGATTCTAGGCTCCGAGGCAGGTGGTGAGATGAGCTGTGCACTCCACTGAATTCTCTGGAGACCTACCGGATCGTCGCGACTGTGCTGTCATCTGGCTCCCTGTGATGAAACTTGGACTGTACAGAGCGACGGACACAGATGTCGCCCGAGGCTGGAGTCGGCAACATGGCTGCTGTCAGCCGCACGCTGACCCTTGGATACCCGCTGGACAGGGGGTTCAGCCAGTAAGGTTTTGCTTAGCTATGGCTTGGCAGCCTAGGATGTTTCTGCTGAGTGGTGTTGTCACAGCGTCTAATCAATCTGCTTTCTTCAACTCATACAACCCATGCATACTTTTGTGCTGAAGCATGCGTTGCTGTTAAAGATAACGTTACCAAGATTGCTTGCTGTAAATGTACACGTATGGTGGGACTTTCGGGTTGACCCCGTGGTGAGCCTAACAGGAGCCACGTAAAATATATGTTCTGTGCAAGTAGGAGTAAAACGGGATTTGTGTCGAGAGTTGGCCTTTGCATCATTTTCCTAGATACGTTTTAAGTTCTTAGTAGCGTTGCATCTTAAAATGCAACTTCAATATGCATGTATCAATCACATGTTGGAAATGTCTGAAGTAAAAACAATTTCATCTCCATGAAACTTTGTAGGTCCAGCAGTTTTCACCCATCAGGAAGTTGATGAAATTCAAGTGCAGCTGGACTACTGTGTCCTCAGAAGCCTTTTAATATAGCAGGATGGAAGTGCTGCAGCACCTCGAGCATCCACTCGCTCAGGGCCTTCAGAATGACTTGGAGAAGGCCAGAGCAAGACTCCAGGGTCTGGAAGACAGTCTCAGCAAACTTGTTGGCCCATCTATGGACTCTTTTAATCCCTCAGGGAGTGGTCCCAATAGGTTTGTTATTATATTGCCTGTGATGCAGATACTTTTTTTTTGAGCTTCAACCCAAGAATGGGAATATCTCTCATCTCAGTTACTCCTAAGTGTATTTGTGCATGAGGCAAAGCACTTCTTCATTGCCCATGTAGTTTTTATGGGAAATCAACCTGCCTTTCAGCAATGAGACAGTTTCTGATGGGAGGCAATTTAAAAACATCTCAAATTTGATATGCTAGGCATCATCATCTTACCAGCATTTGTAAGAGAAAGAGCAGAGCAGTGCTTCTCAAGTGATTTATTTTAACTCCAATTTTAAAACATTAGAGGATAGAATTTACTTGAAATGCTTGCTGTGACTTACCTATCTGTGCCATTTCCTTTTTAAACTCAAAAAGTTATAATTAGGGGGAAACTCCTTCATTGAATAGTCCAGTGAATGAACCAGTCAATGAGTTTGCCTGACACATGATGTCTTGGCTTCAAAACTGAGTTTGATACTAAAAAATATTATATATTCAAAAGGGTTCACTTCTCCAAAAGTAAAAAATCTCCACTTTTGAATGACTGCAAATAAATCAGCATACAAGCTATCAATAGAAAATTAGCAGGGCATGACATCCAAAAGATCTTTGTTACTTATAAAGATTTCTGTGGTTGTTGGTCATTTTTGAGAATTTTTAAATGTAAATGTTCTTTGAAGCCAAAACTTGACAAACTTAATTTCTTTATTCAATTTTTTTCCCTTGGACTAAATATTTGGTTTTTATTACAATGTATTCTGTTACTTTGCACATCACTCACAAGAACACATGTTACCTGTTACCTAAAAAAGTGAACAAAAATCAGAAACAGTAAAGGTGATTCCAACTGCATGGTCCTATCAGTTAATGCTACCAAGTGGCCAGAAACTATGCCTATCTGTCAAGTTCCTCTTTAGATTACCACAGAAAAGCTATGGAAAATTTTTGCCATAATATTTCTGCTCCTTTTCAGAAAGAAGAAATCCTTGAAGAAAATTCATTCTTTCAACGACTTTGTTTTTCTTAGTCCAGAAATATCGTTCCTGTATGCAGAATATTGCATTCTCTCTAATTTTGTTATCCAATATTGTTTATAACATGCAACTATGGGGATATAATTGGAACCACTGACATCAGTAGCTTGTTCCATTATCAGGTAATTCTTAGTAGCAGTTTCCACTGTATTCACATGTGTGTGCTATTTATTGCAGAAGTTAGAACATGCCTACTTGTATAAGTGCATGCTGTAAATCAGTGTTGCAAAACCTTTATTCCATATCGGACCAAGTTGAGATTATGTCTTACAGTTGAGGGCTGCAGGGAGAGAGTACAGGTTGCATATACTGTATTCATTCATTAATGAGATATATGGCAATGCTCTTTGGAGATCTACTCAATATCTAATTGGAATAAGGCTGTGTAATCCAAGTAGGCTGAAGGTTGTGCATCACTTCTTAATGGTAATGGTGCTGCTCTACTAAATAGCTGAATAACTGAGTAATATTTTCATATGACCCTGATATTTCTGCATCCATCCTTCCAAACCTGGGTCATTGCAGTGAAGGAAACCCAGGCTTTGGCTCTAAGTCTTCATTTCTGATAGGAATCGTGGTCGACCACCTCCAGACACACCAAGAGGGAGGAGAGGTGTCTTAATAAGGCAAGCCTTTTTATCTCTTTGATGTTAACCTCATTTTAAATGGGAAAATCTCACATCCATTTCTTCATCTCTTGAAGGAGGGTGACTGTGAGGCCTGAAATAGTTGGCCTTGGAGGTGTTGGTACTGATTTTTCAACGTCCCGGAAAAGGAGTGCACCTGAAAGCATTTTCTCCAGGTATGGTTGCTGATGCCAAATTTTTTTGGGTATCATGAAAAACAATGAGGCAATTTTGACTGTATGATATACTCCCTTCGCAAATCTGTGTTTGAGCTTACTCTATTTGTTTAGGAGATGACTACACAGTTGTAAAAGCTTCTCATTATTGGGTGTATATTCATTTAAGCCAACTAAAATTACAATCCTTGTCATTTTAGTTCAATATCTAACTTGGAAAGCATGAAATTCTTCAATGACCCAACTGGGGCTTTATTTCACTTCTCTTATACAGGGTGGCCAGGGCCGGATTAAGGGGGGGGCAAAGGGGGCAGTTGCCCCGGGCCCCACTCTTCCAGGGGGCCCCCGAAGGAAATTAAAAACGTTAAGTTAAAAAAAAGTATTGTATTTGTGTTGACGGATGCGCCGCGCCGTTTCTCACGCCCGCGAAAACCCTCCGAGAGGAAAATCCGGAACCAGGAACGTGGCCGACTCACTGCTCAAATTGCCCGGATTCAAAATCCGAGAGGAGACTCGGAATGCGACGGGGGAGAGGAGCAGGTAGAGAAAACACCACGACGCGCTGCCAGTCATGACGAGCACATCGCACTGAACCCTCATGCCAGTCACGACGGGCACATCGCCCCTTACCCTCATGCCGATCGCGACCGGCACCTCGCCCCCAACCCCCATCCCGGCGGGCGAAAGCGAAACCTCGTCGCAGAAAAAAATGGCGAACGTGAAGCTTTATTCGATCGGTCATCCGAAAATGCCATTCCCGACGGAGAAAGCGAGCCCGGCGACGACAATCGACTCGGCGATGAAAAAAAAACCTATTTATAAACCAGTCCGGTCTCACTCGTCGTAGATGGGGACGAACTCCTTCTCGTCCACCGGATTCTCTTGATCGGGCGGATGCACCTCCTCCTCCTCCACCTCCTCCCTCTTCGGCTCCATCTCTTCGTCCACGTCGGCCTCACCTCCTTCGAGACGAAAAGAAAATCGTGACACACCCACTCGCACAGGTCTCCCGTCTCGCCTCACCACTCTTTTTTTTTTCAAGTTCAAAGCACGGAGGGTAAGAAAGAGCTTATACACGACTTAACCCAAGTACCCTGCAAGATTTAACGATAAAAATGATATATAATAACCCAACAGGTACTGTTGGGTGATACTTTTTTCAGCACAGTGGAAACTCGTCAACTCGAATCCTTGATAGTCGAAATTCCGCTCATCTCCAAGTTCAACGCTTGTTCTCCGCACCGTGTTAAGCGAACTCGAATTAAGCGGAATATTCATCTCGAACCAACTTCTTAAAATCCCCGATTACGATTTCCTTAAGATCAACCCCAAGTCAGCTCGAATCGGGGGTGAGAAGAAGATTCCTCCTCTCACGCGGGGAAATGCCAGCCGACTCGTTCCAGGTGATTGGCAAATCGAAACACTACCACTTCTCTGTCGCTAATTCGGTTAGAAACAACTGAGTATAGCAGATTCCACGACAGCAAGGATAAAACCGAATGAGCACCGGGAGAAGGGCCGTTGTGACGAACGAATATAGTATCAATTTTCCGCACAGATGAATCAAAGCCAATTATGATTTTTTTTTAAAAAGTCGTCGCTTCTCGAAATCGGATTCCAAAGGGCAAAAAAATCGCCCTCTGGTTACGTCCCGAGATATATTGAGGCGATTCCTGGTAAGTCGAACCGATTTGCTCGGTCCCTTAAAGTTCGAGTTAACGAGTTCCCATTGTGTTTGCGCGACCCGGACGAGTTCTCTTCCCATCACCGCCGACTGGCAATTCCTGGAAATGCAACGTGCAGGAGCGGCGCCACATCACACGGACCAGATGGTAGATGCAATAAACCTTCGCACCTGCATTCTCTTCGCGTTCGTCTTTCTTCGCCTGCTCCGTCTCCTTCTTTTCGTCTTTCCTCTCCGTCTCCCCGTTTTCCTCCGCCTTCCAGTCCTCGCCGTGCGCTTCGACCTCCTCCTCCTCCTCGTCTTCTTCCTCCATCTCGACGGCCCGTCCTTCCGCCTGCCACTGCTTCATCCGCTCCTCTCGCGCCTGCCGCCTTCGCTGGATCCGGGCTTCCATGTCCTCGAATTCCTCCTCGAGGAGCCTCTCCCGCTCTTGGATCATCTCTGTCGTTTTGAAATCATCCACGATGCCAGCGAACCGGTGCCAATCGGAACGACCAAACCAGACAACCCGCCGACTCACTTTCGACTTTCTCCTTCGTGGCCTGAATCTTCCCTTTATCCTTGTCCTTGATGACTTTCGGGAGATAGAAGATATGGGGCTTGGTCCGGGTTTGAATGAAATTCTTTAGAGGCTCCGATCGAAGCTCCCATGCTTTGTGCTGTTTTGGAAAAATTGGACTCATTTTCAAAATCTCATTTCATCGGTGTGATAAGTTTCAAACGTGAGACATCGTAAGGCCGTATGCCACGAACACGAGGCCGTTACAAAGTTCACACGGAATGCAGACTACTTCATACGGCAATTGCCACAATAACAGCAGATAACGATAAGATAAATAAACAGGGAAGTAAACGGTAAAGGCCTTCGGTATCAGACTTCCCAGGGAAGATATTCCAGAGAGAAAGATAGCAAACTATGACTGAATATAGATGTAGATAAAGAACATCCTCCTGTGAGATGTCCTTCATGCCACTTATATTGCCCAACTCTAGATAAGACCTAGATTGGACTCGAAGAGAAGCTATAGAGACCTCCTTCAAGCGAAAGGCCTTGTATTCGAGTCGTTTGATGTCGGCTTGCTGTCGCTTCCGCTGGAACAACAAATCCAGCTTCTCCTTGTGGAGACGCTCCTTTTCTTCTCTGGCGGCTTTCTCTAGCTTCTCTTCCACATGAGCTCGTTTCTTCTCCTACAGATGAAAAAGAATACAATATGGCATGCATATCGATCTGTCCAATGTCTGTGTCAGAAGGCATCGCCAAGCTAAACATCTTTGTAATACCAGCAGAAACTAGTAAGATCTAACTGCATAGTAATGTTACAAATTTTTGCCTCCATATACAAAAGCTCCCCATGAGGAAAGGGTCTTGAAAAAAAAAAAGACAAAGAGGAACAAAGAAATGCAAAAACCATGAACATCAGCCAAAAATGTATTCATTGAATTACATGCTTTTAAATGTCTAGGTATCCTTCCATCGGTAAAAAAAAAAACTCCACATTGTCCCAGAAAAAAGGCTGCAGCAACTTGTGCTGCCTGTATCTTTCTGCCTGCATGTGTTCCAATCTGTCTTCCTGTTAGTCCTGGATTTTCTCCCACACCATTAGGTGGTGATCTATGAGACTTGTCAGGGGTAATGATCTTTGGTTGGAAAGGAGTCTCCCCTGCTGAGTTTTGTACAGGTGGTTTGCACCCCTATGCAGTATTTTATGCAGGCAAAATGAAGTACCATGAAATTCTCAATAGATGACAGTAGAATTCATTTCAGGTCTCGTGTCGATCACGTACAAGTGACGGCAGCAGTGACGAGCAGAAAATTCAAAACACATATGAACACCAATACAGTTAAAGGGTTAGGCTGAATCAGATGTTATCTCCAACAGAAACGACATGCCCTAAATGGTGAATTCACTGCACATCTAAGGGTGCATCATCAGGAGGGAAAATGAAGCACCAGCACTGGCACCACAGCAGGTGTTTCCCCAGAGTGGCCTCAATTTTATGCCAAGGCTGCAGTTACAGAGTCACTTCATTTGGAAATTCTTTGCCCTTAATTCATTCCTTTCATTCCTAAAGCAGCTCTTCAGACACACATACAGAAACACATTCTTCATGGGCTTACGTTGATCAAAGTTTGTATGAAGTGTTAAACTTTTATAATTGACAATTACCTTGCTTTCAAGGTTCTTCTCCTCTTCTTTGAATCTCTTCAGGGTACCTAGCAAAGCCCCAAACATGCGTCGACTCCTGCAAACCAAAACACAAAGATATGAAGCAACAAGAAACAGAGAGCAATGTATGAGGAGTATTCAATAAGTTTTGCCAACAAATTTTGACTTTCCTATGAACTTCATACTCCTCAGGATACTCTGTAACCTCTCCATTGAACATTTCATCCTAATCAATGACATTAAAGTTTCTAAAGTATTTGAACTGAAGTACACTTCAGAATAGTGAATATGACACCACAGATCAACTTTTGAGTGCCAAGAAATGTATTCCCAGGCAACCCTTAATTTAAAAACAGATAATATCAATAGAGAAAATTTGCCTAGTATTCACACAGCAAATATATCAGATGAGCTCAACACATGGCTGGCTGGAATGGAACAATTTGCAGAATCAGGACTTCACACAAGTTTTCAATACGTAGCTAAAGAGTACACCTTGGAGTGTGCGGAATGTTCTAACTCATTAACACCCGACTTTTGACATTAAATTGAAATTTGGCATGAGCATGGCTCACAGGCCCAAATTCACCCACCCAGGTCTGTTTTGTTTATTTCATTTAAGCTAATATATAAAAATTTAAAAACTAATTAAACAATTAAAAAATGAATAGTATTTATGTTATTTGCATGTTTGTTAATTTCAATTAATTAAAATGAATTATTTATTATATATTTATTGCATTTTATATTATGCAACCATAAAAACTAATTGGGAACAAAATTTTTGCAAATTTAACCCTCTCCTTTACTTAACATAGAAGAGTGTAGGGATCTGAATGTGAAAAACTGTTTCAAGTTGGCACTCTGGAATATATTCAGGAATATATAGTTACTATTTCAAAGTGATTTCAATAGTCCCTGAAATAATCCATATCTACTGATATAAAGAGATCCCCCCCCAAAGAAAAGAATATAATAGGGCTGGTTCAGTCAGGATATAAAGGAAAAAATGTGTGGAGAAAAGGGAACTACTTTCATACCTGATGAAAATGGGCTCATAAAAAAAAAACATGCAGATATTAAGTTGGTTAACCTCTAGGTTGTGGAATTTTGTTGAGTTGCCATGGAGGTTAGTTTGCAATGTCATTGGAAAGAGAGCATAATAACAGCAACAAGAGAATGAATCTTTCACCTTAATTAGGAGAGTATTAATGTGGAAATGCTTCCATATTTTTGGTTTTAGATAGTTGTTGGGACTAAAACAGGTGCCATTCAAATTCAGAAGAATGGATATTAGTAAAAGATCTACCATCTACATCAGTAGCAATGCTTCTTCCCAGATGGTCAGAACACACTTAAAAAAACTCAATCTTGGGACACTTAACAGATAATGGGTTAAAAAGTGATTGATAACAAACAAAGCCATATTGTGTGAAAATTTGAGGAGACTGTTCTGAGCAGATGTGCGAGCATGGTGTTTGTAGCTTCTGCCAATAGCAAAAAATAAAGATGAGTTGTGAAAACTCATTGAATGCTTCTCATACACAATGGAGATATAAAATGAACTCACCTAGCTAGATTCTCTTTATCTTGTGACTGTTCTGTCATTGCTTTTTCTCGACTTTTCATCTCCTTAGGAGTTGTTATCACTTGAGACTGAAGACTGGGCTGTGGAATAAGAAAATTTTCCAAGTGTAAAAGGCAAAAATATATCTTTCATCACATAGTGAAACAAAGAGAACAGATAGCTTACCTTTTTTCTTGGTGATTCATCTTCACTTGATTCCTCCTCATCTCTCCTAGACCATTGGGGTTCATCTCGGTGCCTCCCACGTCCGTCATCCGATCCCCGCATCACCCGAGGTCCTAGCCTGAGGGAAACAAATGGAATTAGAGTACAGCATGAACATATAATTTGCATAATCTTGGTACATTCATGAAACCTATAAAATATGGTCATTATTATGCCTTACTTGCATCAATCATAATTTTAGAAAATTGGTTAGCTGTAAAAACCTGTCCCTGAAACAGGCAAAAATGCAAGATGCCTTGGATTATTTTTGGGCCTATGAGAACATTTGATAGTAGATCCAGATTTGTTTATATGCTCTGACATGATTTTCTTATATTGCACAATTAGGACTCATGATTCCTGCCCATAAAATTACATTTTAAATACAGGGTGGCCCATAAGTCGCTTTACCATTTAAAAATCGAATAAATTTTTTGTTTGTTAATTTTTTGTATTTATTTTTTTATAATATAAAGTACAGAGAATGGGAATTTTTTTAACTATGTATGAAAAATGATGTCATGTAAATGACCCCCATTTTCCACTTCGCAAGCATGGGCTCTTTCTACGGCATTTTCCATGACGGCTCTTAACATGTCTGGCTCCAGCGCTTGAATTTCTTCCTGAATGTTGTCCTTAAGCTGCTGGATGGTCCCAGGCTTATTGACATACACCTGATCCTTCAGGTAGCCCCAAAGAAAAAAGTCTGGTGCTGTCAAATTGGGCGAATGTGGAGGCAAATTGAAATCTGAATTTCGCAAAATTATTTGCTCTTTGAAAATCTGCCTTAGCAGCTGCATTGTGGCTCTGGCCGTATGGGCAGTTGCCCCATCTTGCTGCCACCATGTCTCAGGCATGTCCTCCACTGCAGGACGCACAAAATTTTCCAGCATTGCTCGATATTGGTCGCCAGTCACCGTAACTGTATTGCCATCTTTGTTCTAAAAAAAGTAAGGACTGATTACCCTTTCGGATGTTACACCACACCAAACCGTGACCTTGAGGGGGTGCAATTCATGTTGATGGATGACCCTCGGATTCTCGGTGCCCCAAAACCTAGTATTCTGCTTATTCACAGAGCCATTCAGGTGAAAATGGGCTTCATCTCCCANGGATTCTCGGTGCCCCAAAACCTAGTATTCTGCTTATTCACAGAGCCATTCAGGTGAAAATGGGCTTCATCTCCCATGATCAGATTGTGAATAAAGTTGTTGTCTTCTCTAGCCATCTCTTGAATCCGGATTGCATAATTTAACCGTTGCTGACAATCTATCGGCTTTAATTCATGCACCAATTGCACCTTGTATGGGTACATGTGTAAATGTGTTTGCATGCGCTGCAACGAAGTCCGTGAGATTCCAAGCTCGAGGAAAACGTCTTCGAGTGGACGTTCCTGGTTCTTCCTGAGTGCTCTGCTGCACACGTTCAATATTTTCCTGCGTACCTACTGAACGTGATCTCCCGGCTCATGGCAAATCACTAACAGACCCCTGTTGTTGGAAACGTTGAACCAAGTGACGCATTGCTGGTTTCGTGGGCAGATTCCTGACATGGAAATAGCGCATGTATGCTCTCTGTGTTAAAACAATGGAGCGCTGGTTTTCGAAATAAAATTCAATGATTTTTACGCGTTGCTCCGTCGTGAATTTTTCCATAAGAAATTTCCAGGGAACAAATTTTCAAAATCTGAAACAAAAATTTAAAATATTAATGGCAAAAAAGTTATTAAATTTTTAAATGGTAAAGCGACTTATGGGCCACCCTGTATATATTGGCGTGACAGCGCTATCTGCCTTGTGAAGTACTTTATCTTACTAGTGTGTCTTAAGAGCTTTGTTTAAAATTTCCTTCCTTTAGACTTTTAGTACCGTAAGCATTCGGTTATCTCAAGACGGAATACAAAGCTAAAACACATCGAGTCCGTGATCGTTTCGGACTGGTCTTCCTCGTCCATCGCTTCCGCACGTGAAGATGAACACCAGTGTCAGATTGGAGAACGACGAGGTCGTTCGACTCTCCTATTGCTGCTGCGGCTTCGACGCCACAGTCAAGGTCGGTTCCAAGCGTCGCAATCGCATTCTCGAAATCGTTGGAGTGGGGATGGAATCCTCGTTTCGAGGGTTCGGTCGCGATCTCACTTGTTTTGTTGTGGTTCAGACCTCGAAGATATTGATGTACGTCGGGTTGGTCCTCGATGGCCTTGGACTTCTCTTCGTGACACTTGGGTTATATTTCCTATTGGGGCCGGACCGGCGAGCGTGTCAAAGTGTCTGCGAATTGCTTTATGGACCACATGACCCTTGCCCGGACGGGGACCTTTGTATGGTCTTTTACCGCCGCAGCATCGGACTCCTCGTGACCAGCTGTAAGGAAAACATTAGTCTCCTCTGAGTCCTACCACATTATTCAAAGTGTCATCCTTGTGCAATATGGAATGAATTTACACTTCCAAAGTACCCAGGTAACACAGAACATTGAATCAACATTGATTGGATGTGGATTTAATGTTGTCAACATCACATTATGAATTCCATTTGGGGAATATTCTGATTACATTTCTTAGATGTGGCATCATTGTTAACCCCTCTTAAAATGATGAAGAGTTGGACCTCTGCAATAGGTTTTCGGAGTACTATCAACCTATCACAACATGGTTTCAATGTTGAAAAAATGAGACTCCTCAACTATTGAGTTGGATGCCGTCTATTATGTATTTGAATATTTAATTTTTTTTAGTTCGGAAACAAGCATACAAACCATTTCCAGGTATCCTACGGTCATCGCTGAGTCGTCTTGCATCTTTTTATGGACGTTATGTTATCAGGGTAGTGTAGTCTATGCGCGATCACAATGAAGTACCAAGAGCCCTCACTAGATCACTAGATGGAATCCATGTTCCCATGTAGTCTCCTAATGCAATGACGGATCTGTCATCTTCCATTAAAGAGTTTTCTTCCCACTTTCCTCTTTTTATTACGTAAATAATGAACAAATATTAGAGAAATGTGAAATTATGATGTTCTGATTGCGGCATCTGACCCTGAAACAAATTAAATGTTCAGGTCTAGTATGGGCGCATAGAAGTCTAGGTGATTGGAGACATGTAGAGCACACTTAGTAATAACCTGAAGTAATCCATTCTCAAATCCTAAAAAAAGAGAAGCTGAGGCGGTTTATGCTCAATTTGCAAGCCATTCATGCACACAAGGTTCCAGTGCTGTTTGCAGAACTGAAGAGGACCCATCCTCTCAAATTTCTCAGTACTCTGTGGGTACTGACCTATTGAAACTGGAGAGGATTTATCCTCTTTAGTATATATAGTTCATCATCTATAGGTCATGCGATTCATTTTGATGAATTTACGTCTACTTTGATCCATGGAGGAACCCTATTACCAGGGACTCATTGATGAATGTTGAATGAATGTTGATGCAAGGTGGAAATCATATTGAATGAATGTTGCCATCAATATTGTTTCAACATTAACAAGGAATGTTGAAACAATGTTACAAAAATGACATCTTCACATTGAATCAATGTGGTACCTCAATTTTATTTCAACATTATAAGAGTTGCCATGAAACATTGTTTCAATGTTGTTTCCACATGGATATGTTACCAGCGTAGATATGACAGTAAATGAACATATCTCAAAGAAAGGCTTTTCCGGACGAGAGACAATAAGGCCTTTTCCTCCCCTGTAAAAATGGAATCTGCGCTCCTTCTGAGACTCACGGATGAGCCTCACGGGAGGTTCCAGGCAGCCTCAGCCAGCCTGCGAGGCATAGAGTAGAGAGTATAAGTAGAGAATCGAATCCCATTCGCTGACAGGGTCGGAATATAGATGTCGCTGTTGATCCTCCACCTAGCGGACACACATCAACTCCTCCATGACCGAGCAGCGGACTCAACGAGACTCGCGTATTACGTTTAGGGATCCCTTTGGGTCGAATCCCCTAACGAATCGATTCCCGATTCCGCTGCCATGAAGCACTCCGCATGGAAGTGTTGTTGATAACAAGCCATCAGATGTCTCTGTAATATTTCGACCCTCCCCTATCCCTCGGAGTGTCGCCTCTAGTTATACTCTCTACTCTATGCTGCGAGGGATGTCGCGTCGTCTCTCCGTAGATGCGACTAACAATGGGTGTCTCCCTGCTTTTGCCTAAGTTCAACCGAAACCCGTGGAATTCCTCATGGAATCCAAGTGCAATAGCGAAACTTTGGGAGAAAATGCATCGAATGCGGATATACAGGGAATTGCAAGTTTATCTATAGGTGCGGTAGAGCCTATTACCTTTCCTCAATCCCTTCCCGCAATAATGTTGCGAAAGTTGGTCTTCCCCATTCCAGATCTGAGAAGCCAAAAATGTCATTCTAAAATTTGGAACTTGAACGCTTGCCCAAGCAGCATGTTTATGTAAACAGGATATCAATTTTTTTTTGCAAACAATGTAAATTTATTGCGATTGCCATGAAAAGGACATCACGTTTACGTAAAATTTACGTTCCTATATTTACGTCACCAAAGTGTACATGTATTTTACATAAACTAGACGTCACTCCATCAGACGTGAAGTACATGATATCAAGTTTATGCAAAGTTAACATCCCACTTTCTATATGAAACTTTAGCTGACCATCCCGCTGTTGCAATACCAAGATTCCTCACTAGATGGAACCCTTGTTCCCTGCACCCTAAAAATGCCGTTAAGTACTGGTTTTCCCGATGTAGTATCAGATTTTCTTATCATCCTTCCACTTTTTATTATGCAATCCATGAATATATATATGGAAAGCAGGAAATTATTGCATATTTTTCATAATATATGACTCAGGGAATCATTAAATGCTGAAACTAAGCTTGTTATTACAGCATTGCACGGGATTAGGGTAGAGTAGAATCCCGAACCCACAAGGTTTATACTTTTTCTATCCTTAATTATAGAAAAAACCTCTAAACATTTATTTTTTCTCCCGAGGTACTGGTACGGGTGGAGGAACTAGTGAGTCTTCTTGATACTCTTGAGTGCTGGTGAGGATGAGCACTCGTCCAAGTAACCTTGAGTTCCTAAGTATGGAAAGGAGCGGGAGAAATACAGTGCATCAATTCTCTTCAAAAGTACTAATTAGCTCGTTAAATACGCATGATTGTTAGGGGGAATTAACATCAATTTTACGTTAAATGAATATAAACATGCTGTTTGGGATGTAAACGGGAATGTCAATTTTGCGTAAAACTTATGTAAATTTTATGTCACCGTTTACGTATTCCAGACATTTCTGCAAACATGTTGACATTGAGGATGGTTTGCGTAAAATAGATATAAAATGGACAAAAAATTTACATTCAGTTTACGTAAAATTAACATAAACATGCTGCTTGGGTGGTAATGCGTTGACATCCCTGTCTACCTCAAAGACGGGTGACCTAATTTTTTTTCAGTTGTACTTTCCCTCGTTGGCGGTTTGATGTCCATCCCTAGCAGAAGGGCCTTGAAAATACAGAAGAAGATGAAGAAGGTCGCAGCAGCCCAACAGGGACATCCCAACACGCCCCAATACCAACAGGGACATCCCAACACGCTCCAATACCAACAGGAATATCCCAACAGGCTCCAATACCAACAGGGACATCCCAACACGCCCCAATACCAACAGGGACATCCCAACACGCTCCAATACCAACAGGAATATCCCAACACGCTCCAATATCAACAGGAACATCCCAACAGGCTCCAATATCAACAGGGACATCCCAACAGGCTCCAATATCAACAAGGAAATCCCAATAGGCTCCAATACCAACAGGGACATCCCAACACGCCCCAATACCAACAGGGACATCCCAACACGCCCCAATACCAAAAGGGACATCCCAACACGCCCCAATACCAAAAGGGACATCCAACAAGCTCCAAAACCAACAGGAATTTCCCAACAAGCTCCAATACCAACAGGAATATCCTAACACGCTCCAATACCAACGGGGACATCCCAACACGCTCCAATTCCAACAGGGATCCCGTCATTACGGTCAGCCGCGGCTTCCTATGAGAAACCCTGGGCCGACGGCGTATTATTGACGAAACCATTTTCCGAAATCGTCGGGGTTGATGCCTGAATTCGAGAAATGGTGGCTCGGTTCTCGGCATGCTTTCGGTGATCAGTTTGTGCCAAATGATATGAGGTACAGTAAAAGAGAAATTTATCAACTTCCCTTATGCAGTCTGCTCATTTGTATCTCATGACGACAGTAAACGCATTGCACTGGTTCCAAATATCATTTTCAGTCTGTCCAGGTGCTGATTGTCAGAAAAATGTTCACACTTTCAGAAAATCCTCACCTAGTTGCAATTAGAGGAAGAGTAGAAGCACTGGTGACATATAAGCCGAACATGGTAAATTATGCAGTGAAGGTAGGCTTCTCGATAATTTTATTTATTCATTTACCCAGTCATTGCAAGAACGAAATGTTCAAAATAACTGACCTAACCCGTTTACACGGTATATTTAACAAAAAAAATCGAAAAACAAAGCAAACAGCATTTCAAATGGGCGTGAAAATGACGAGAAGCGTGTTCCTGCAATGTCCGAATCTAAGGTAAGACATGCGAATAGCCCTTTTCTTTTTAGATGGCACATTATGACAAGAGTGGTATTTATTCATGAATTCGCCGCTGTGTCCGATTTTTTTCGCTTCCAAGATCTCTTTTACATAGGCCTATGCGCCCTTTTAATGTTCTGTTGAGGTAATAAAAAAGCCAACCGATCGGTCTAATCTTGAAAATATTTTTCAAAATAGAAGTTAAACGTATTAGAACACCACATCCAAAACCAATCCTAAAAAACAGCTTAACTGCTTGCGTGTAAAGACGAAAACTCGGTCTTGCTCTCTTGCTTCAGACTATGGCTTGCTCCTGTGTCTTGACGCCGTGATTCATGATTTACTTGGACTTCTTGTAGAAACACCAGTACTTGCGGACTGGATAGGACTCATTCCACATTCTTTGTGTAAGTACAGTTGTCTCCTCCCGGCCTGGCTCCAAGACTCGTAATGCCAAGAACCAATCCCGCAGGGAATCCACATCCAATGGTGGCGGTTCACCATCCTCCAAGGAACTCCCAGGAACATGTACTCGCAGACAAATCGATAGGGATCGAGTAGCCTAGGGATCGAGTAGCCTATGGACCACGTAGCCAGAAAGAGGACGACCGGAAAAGCACAACTGGCACTGAAATTCGCAAATTTTTACGCGGACGGGAGCATGGGGTCCACTCGTTGCGGTGGTGGATGACACTGTGACGTTGGCCTGGCCGCTTGGCCCACCTAGAACTGAGGGGCCAGGAGGTAAGAGTGGAAAGGGAGAGTGGACCGTGACGTAAGTTTGGGAAGTAGGAGGCTCTTTCCTATCGTTGTGCATATTGTTATGCGCAAGGATTATCTCACATCAAAATATATTCTCCACATTATTGGAGCCGATTTTTCTCTCCCTCCTATGCGCTCGCCGTCATGCGAAGCCCTCATGCCGGAAAAAGTACCGTGCTTATCGAATGGATTCACTCCTCTTACTATGACTAGTCATGCATTTCTATGACGCATCTGTAGATGCGTCATAGAACTATTAGTCCCAATAAGTCAATGTAGATGTCGCCAGCGTTTGTCTCTTCTGCATTCTCAACAATTGGGAAAAGTATATTCATCCACTCCGAGTTTCCCATCAAAATCTTGCGTTATCGTTCCATGAAATAACTCGGGTTAGCCTATCGAAGGCTCTTTTAAGGAGATGATCTTGTAGAAACTCATCTATGAAAATAAATTCCTTAGTGTAGTTGCAAAAGTTGCATGTGAGAATGTGGAGAAGCTGTATTATTCTATGGTAAAAATGCTGATCGTGTATCATGTCGATGAAGAGGTCTCAGGCATTGGAAAGTCCTTTCTCTTCCATACCGTGGAATTACATCGGCTTTTCTCCCTTGCAATGGATCGCCTCGAACGCGGATTTCACTTGATCCCCTGATCAATTTGAAATTTAAACGAGTCATATTGAATGGCTGCTCCTATAAGCTGCATGTTTTGGTTTTGGTATCTCACCTAGGATGACCTAGAAGTGCTTGTTTACTTCCACGTGACCACAGGATTCGATCGCCAAAACCCACTGGCATCATGGAATTCCGGCAGCAACATTTGCTGCATCGTTGCAGGGTCTCGGATCTGCGATGTGCCGTTCTGTTCCTCCTCGCCTTCGCAAGATGGGGACTTCTCTGCGTCTGCGAGTTCTTTCTCTCGTTCATTTCGATCTTGAGGATCGCATCAGGTGACGCCGATTCACTGACTGCATTATCATTATTTCGACTCAGAGGGGGGGAAATTCATCTGCGACAACTGAAGATACGATTATCTTTTTAGTTACTGGGGATTATCCCTCCCTCACCAACATGACTCTCAAGGAATGCCGATTCGAGGAAAGATAAAGTTGTGGCTCGTCAACGCTAATTTTTCCGATGATGGAAATTCCAGTTAAGAATGACGGATTAGGGACATAGACGTCGTCAATTTCGTCAGTGGGACCTTCAATGGACTTCATTATAACCGAGGTTCTCTCTATAACCGAGGTAAAATGTACCGTGCCTTATGGGCTCTACGCCGGGACCTGGCGCTTTTCGTCGTTATTCGCTGGGTGCACTAACACTAGATGGCGCGTTTTAAATATGGCGCCTCCCATGACTGGGGGGAGTCGCACATAAGGAGAAGAATGGAACAAAGTCATGTCTTCATAGAATTGTACAATCCTTCTTCACGTGAGGCTCCTCCCAATTTCTTCTCAAAATTTGAGAGCCACGACATTGATAAAGGGAGCTTCTAGCCGAAGTAAAACATGTTATAAATGCGACAGAGTTCAGGGGTGGGCAAAAAACGTGGTTCAATCCTTAATCAAACTTCACCTTCAGAAAAGGTGCAGGTTTTCCTCAAAGCCACTCACCAATGCAAGGATTTCTATGGAGTCATGGGCCTCGGTGAGGTACGTGTGTATGATATGAGTGAGATACAATTAATATCTTCCATTTTCTTATAGAATTCACAACAACGGGAAACTGCTTTAAACTTGGTGAGGTTTTGACTCTTATTGTCTCTGTATTCTCTCAAGTGCTGCTAGCTTTTTTCCCCTATCAGTTATGCTTCATGGGCTTAAATCATAACCAATGACAGAAACCCTTTTTGGATTAGTACTTCATGCAGGGCCGGATTAAGAGGTTGCGAAGCCCAGGGTAAGTGGATTATTGGGGCAACCCCCCCCCCCCTCTTTTCCCACTTTACTCAAATACTAAACGTTTTAATTTCCTTCGGGGGCTCCCTGGAAGAGTGGGGCCCTCCCCTTTAATCCGGCCCTAACCTCATGATAAAACGTCTCAGGTCAAGGATTAATGTTGGCTATTTATCCTCTGACAGCAATTACCAAATTTGATTGTCGTAGGCCCATGGAAAGCGAAGGCCTAGACTGAAATAAACATCATAACAGGCCTTTCAGGCCGTCTGGATGCTCCAAACAAAAACTTCACCCCATCGAGTACTTACTATATAATCATTCTTGGCCTTAGGAAATGACTTCGCCAAAGAAAATTAAGCATTTTCGTTGTAAAACAGTTATATCTGCATGTTTCCATTAGAAACGCATTGAAGCTTGCGCGCTCGACTCCCCTCGGCTCATTTTTATGCTTCCCGCCGCCAGATGTCTCCAAGTTAATGCACCCAGCGAATAACCGAGGTTTCGTTATAACCGAGTTCGACTGTAATTTATTTCGGTGCCCAGATATTCCTCAAGCTTCGAACTTTGTTCAAAGTTTGCTTCCCGGTCGTTCAGATGGGCTGCATGATGTCAAGTTTGCGTAGCTCCTTCACATTGGGGTCGGGTAACTGACAAACATGCATACCATAGCAGTTTATGGGATGAAACCAGGTGTCACTCTCGTCGAATACCCAGCAGTGAAGCTGCCAGCTGCAAGGGGGGGAGGGGGGAAGTGAATTCATTCGATAAGAACTGTTGATGATTACGGATTAAATGACAAATTGGCAAAAAAAAAATTGTATGCAGACGTGCATTCTTCGCAGATGACATTAGTACAGATAGGAGTAATGCTGAATTTATTATTAGAGACGTGGGGAACCGGTTGCCTGGTTTCCTCTTCGACTTGATCCTAGTCCTTTATACGGAAATAGATGACGATGGTGTCGAAACACGGGATAGCAGTGAAGGGGAAGAACCAGGAACCCACTTTTATAGTAGTGCACTACGTTGATACCCCATAAATTCGATGCTGGTTTAGAGATAAGGGAGGGAAAAAGATTCGACAGGCTCATCCTGCCCTTGACCCTGTACAAAGGAGCGCCGTCGAGAACTCTCTTCTGTCGCGATGAACGGCGGAGGCCCGACGACGGAAACCTTTGACACGCTTTTCTTTTCGTACGGTTTTTCCTTTCTGCTTCGACCAGACCCTTCGAGAGGAACGGAAGGGACGATCTCCATCATTTTCGAGGTCAGGAATTAATGACATCCACATAGGTTTCACATTTACGTGAATGTGTTCCAAGCTCATCATATACAGGGTGCGCCATAAGTCTTTTGACAAAATGTACCGTGACCGTACATCCAATGCACATACCGCAAAGACTTTGTACTTCGTACTTTGGTAGTTCCTTATCAGTGCTGAACATAGCTGCATACGGA